GAGAGTGAGTGAGTGAGTGAGAGTGAGTGAGTGAGTGAGAGTGAGTGAGTGAGAGTGAGTGAGTGAGTGAGTGAGTGAGTGAGTGGTGAGATCTTGTGTTGTGTCAGTGAGTGAGTGAGTGATGTGAGTGAGTGAGTGAGTGAGTCAGTGAGTGAGTGCGTGACTGAGGAGGGGGCGAGGAGGACGGAAGGAAGGAAGGAAGGACCGGCGGATGCGGGCGGGATGCCAGCCAACAAAACTAGAACCCCACACAGAGATGTGGGGAAAAACAAAAAGCAATGAGTCAATGGCTCGGTTTTCTTGGGGAGGCTCCAGGCATTTGCAATCAATTTTGCATGCTTGGGACTGGAAAACGGTCCAATTTCGCACGGCACACGCGTTCAGTTGTATGTGAGCTCACCGCTTTGCACAATACGTGGCGCAATGGATTATGAGTCCCCACTGTGAAGGTTTGGATCGTTAAACACTTTGACATCAGCGAAGCGGCATACTAAGCATCTATTTCAGTTCTGCATGCGGCAGAATGTTCACCCGTGCAGTTTCGGGTGCCCCGTGGCCGTGCCTTTGGCGCGATTCGCTGGTCTTTACAGCGCATTGGACATCCGAGATCTCTACGTGCGCAGCACTTTGGATGAGCATGAGCATGAGCTAAGCACCGTGAAGGTAATCGTGATCAAAGGTATGATGATGGCGGTGGTAAGAACGATACACATTAAAACCATTCATTGAAGACACTAAGCCGAGATCAAAGCTGAGAACCTTTTGCCAAACTGACAGGAGATCTGCAGTTATGGCGACCATTGACATCCAATCCAACAAGCTTTGGCGCTCTAGCCGTTTGGAATCGAGGTGTTGAAAAGTGCTATCGAGGAAGGGTGCAGCGCATGAGGAAGGGTGCAGTGCATGGCACTTGACGGGTCAAATCGGACCAGCTGGAACCAACACTGCCAAGATCGGATTCAGAAAAAGCTCAACTCTTGTTACTAGTAAGAATGCTCCGTTCGTAGCGATGCCAGGAGCCCCTAGTAGCTTCCTTGCTCCTAGTAGTAAGGCCAGGAACCCCTAGTAGCTAGCTTCTTGTTCATGGAACTTGGTGAATGAACATCTGCTAAATTTGCAAAAAAACATGAACATGCTTGTCAAGCTGAACAAGTCCTCTCGCGCTTCGAGCTCTTTGGCTAGTTTGGATTGGGCCTGCAAATGTTTTTTTTGCACATTTCAACTGATCCATGAGACCCCGAGCCCCACCTCCACAAGCGACTTGACACGAGCTTCTTCCAGCTCCAAATGTTCCAAGCGCTCTTGAAAACCTCCCCTGCCACGAAGTGCAACATGAGAAGCATCTAGTGGATCGTTTTGATTTATACTTTAAGAAGTCAACATTGCTGGCCTTCCTAATAGCAATGGCCTCCAACCTAATAGCGTAGTGGATGTATCAACATGTCTGCCCCCCTATGAATTGCATACTAAGCCAATCAATAGTTGTCAACCGCCCCCGTACAAAAAAAGAAGACTAGTTGCAAAGTATTGGCACTGGAGTTTTGTTTGGGACCATTTGAATAGGAATTGACACTATTGCCAAGGGAAATGAATGCATATCAGAAAGTTGTTTTTGTTGAATTTGGAATGGGTGAGACCGCCTTTGAATCCACTTGCAAATCAGCATATAAGCCTTGCAATATAAGCGCAAGGGCTAAGCACTCTGCATCGGGAAACTAACAACTAGAGAAAGCAAAGGCCAAAAACAGAACGTACCGACGGCCGTGGCATGGGCAGTGGCATGCCGACTGCCGATGACTGCCGGCCCCGCCTTTCTGGTGACATGCTTGTGGCCTGTGTGTTTGCTGCACTTGCGGCGGGCTGAGTCTCTTCCCCACGCCTTGGCACTGGCGCAGGCGGTGCAATTACAATATATTTAAATTTACTTCAATTTCTATTGAATTCTAATCTCGTTACTAGTTACTGGTAGTAAGGCCAGGAGCTACTAGTAGCTTCTTGCTCCTAGTAGCGATGCCCTTTGTTCCTAGTAGCTTCTTGCTCCTAGTAGCCGCAACAAGGCTCATCTCTAGACTCTAAACAACTGTCCACCACAAAACAGCGCGTCTGCGCTTCATGCTTCTTCATGGGTAAGCTGTAGTGTTCACTTGCGCCAAGGCATCACCTCTAAAAAACACAGGTTTCAACCCATGTTGGGGCCCCAAGTTGGGGCTAGCGGCTAGAGTCTAGAGCCCGGAAGTTGTGCAACATTCACTAAAACTTGTCTCCACAAGACATTGTGGACATCCGCAGGGTGTGAAACTCACTCTCACGTAGGAGGCACCGAACATCGAGAGATATCGAAAGTCAATACCACTTTTAAAAACAGCGCTGTGAAGGTGTGCTTATGTGTCCGTTTTACAGTGTTCCTACGTCCTACATCTGCATCGCGTGCATACTAGAAACAACAAACTCCAACATCCCTTTGGAGCACCAAAACAACAAAAATACCCAACATACCAAAAAGGGCGATCCATTGGAGAAAACTTGCACCCCCTCCCTCTCCAAACATTGTTTGTTGTTAATGTCTTTTTGTATGTTCGGATCTAGACCTAGACGAACAATGCATTTCGATGGTGGTGACATACCAAAATTAATCAAAATACACACAGTCACACAATACCAATAATAGCGGAAATGCTTGGAGAGGTGCACGTTTTCCACTGGTTTGATTCTAATCATATAAATTCTATTTATTGTTTCTAATAGCTTCTTGTTACTACTAGTAAGGCACTTGTTCCTAGTAGCTTATTGTTCCTGATTAGTTTGTTTTGTGGATGTTGTGGAACAAACATTGTTGTTTTAAGAATAATTGGTATGTCACTGAAGACGCTGAAGATTTCACGATTGTGGAGGGTGAGCTTGCGAACGCAAATGAGCTAGACAGCTAGAAATGGTGTATTGGGTCTGAAAACACATCTGCCCAGAATATTTGTGCACTTGTCCGCTCAGATCATTCCAACTTAGGAGTTTCCGCCGGCGCCTGCCGTCATTTTGGAACAAGAGACAGGGTGCGTCTTGCGCCACTCAAATGGGCGCGCAAAAACATTTGGAAATTGGGCATCCTTCTAAAGCCAATCATTCAAGCTGTCATAGTCAATGGTGTAGAAAAGGCTATGGGGAGGGATGGCAATTGCACCACCAATGGATCTCCACCAAATACTCATTGTGCCGTGAAGGACCAGCCCGAACAGTTTTTGGGCAACCTGGGCACAGACTGAGGACCTTGGTGATTCCTAAAATAGGCGTCAACATGCGCAATGTTGCAAAACTGTCATGTCAGCCATTGACGACCTCTTTTCCAGCAATGTTACATGTAGTTGATCCAACAAGACTTGAGACACTGCTCCAGCAGTGGCGGGCAACAAAAAGAAAGCAAAAAGGAGTCACTGGAGTGTGCTATGACCCAGGCGGGTAGCCACCCGACGCCTCAGTTGGGCTTCGCGTCGACTTTGCAACACACAAGTAGCGTCTTTGCTCCTAACAGCGATGCCCTTTCTCCTAATAGCTTCTTGTTCCTAGTAGTAAGGCCAGGAGCCCCTAGTAGCGTCCTTGCTCCTGCCGCCGCGTGCCATCCAAACTTTGTGGGCCCAGGCGTCTGTCTGCAAGGTTTGCACCTCGATAAACGGCAACAGGGTCGCAAAATCAATACATCCGACCAAAACATCTTCTGAAGGCAGCACCAGCTCCAGCAGCTCTTCTGTACTTAAAGCATCAAGGACCTGCAAAGCGCCATTATGTCATTGATGATGAGTGTGCTCTGACAAAACATTTGTATACCGACCACATTCTGTCACTCAGTTAATTATGTGGCTCGTCACGTTCAACCTGCATGGCAAAGCTGGCAAATTTGAAGATCCATGTGCACGTTGTATGGCGATGTGCGCAGGTCCCTTGCGTGGATTGGGTTCGCTAGTTTGGCCGGGTTCACATCTAGGCCCAGAGCGTTCGTGTAGTACTGTAAGCAATGCAATTCAATCCGCAACAAAGGCCACATGCCCTCACCAATGCAAGCAAAAACCCTTGTTCTTGGTGTGAGGCTTGGTTGATTGACGGACGAAAAAAACCTCTGTGGATTGACGGCCCAATAAGAGCGTGTTTCAGTGGGAGTTTGTTTCCTTCCATCGTCGGTGAGATCCTTACAGGGCAGTGGTCAGAAATTTGTTGTTATTTGCTGCGGTGACATCTCGCACCAGGGAAGCAGGGGAGGAGGGTTGCGCAGGAGGGGGGAAAGAGAGGAGAGGAGCAATTTGTTCCCGGTATCACTATTCCAAGCTTTCGCATGGCGCCTAGCTTCGCCCCTCCAACAAAGTTCAGTCTGCCCTTTCACGTCCACAACTTTCTGGCGGCTAGTGATTGACTCCACAGGCATCACCCTCTAAAGGGCCAATCCGCATGTTGAGAGCGCGCCCAGAGTCTCGACATGGCAAGCTCTTTCGCACATTGTCGCCGAGCCCCGCAAGCCACCCAGACGGCCCCAGACCCCTTGAGCCTCAAGCTTGCATGGCTTACTAAGTCAAGAGACGGCTCAAGGTTTCGGCTGGCAGCTAGCTTTTTGATGAGATGAGATGAGATGAGATGAGAGATGAGAGATGAGATGCGCGGAGAAGAGCGAAAGGGAAAAGGGACCAGGGAAGATGGGAGGAGGAGAGGAAAAAGTCGGTCTAGATAAGATGCACGCTGGTGCCGTGGTAGGGAAGAAACTCTTCTTCCGCACCGTTTCTCTTACAACTTGGCCGTAGCTCCCCTCAAACTAGATCGAAGTAATAGTAATCGTGTTCTTTGAATAGTTGACGTAGAGCTTGGAAGCTTCAAATCTCACCGGCAATGCAATGGGCCTGGTCTGCCTCGCAGTCCGTGAGCCTCAGGAAAAGAAGGGGAAAAAAATGTAAAAACTGGTCGCAAGGTTGACCTGCTGCAGGCACGTCTGAACTTGACTGAACTTAGTTTGGCTAAGCCCCGCGCATCTGACGAGCTAAGCTCTTCAGCTCCTGAAAACAGCAGTGCTGTCAAAGGCTGAAAATTGCAAGCACTTCAAACAAAGAACATCATGCGTTCATGATGTTTGTGTTTAATCTTCACGGATCTTCATGGCCAAACATTGACAGGAGCCTTTATGCTTTGACGGTACAACCCAGAGTATCTCATTTGCATCTGCAACTATGGAGAGGGCATGCGTGCTTTCATGCTTTGCTTGCTCTCGCCTCACGGTCAAATTGTGCTCCAGACCTGATCTCAGCGTCTCACATCTCACTTTGGCTTGACCATCCCACCAAGGCCCGTACTGCGAAGCCTCGGCTTACTCGACAAATATGTGGTGTGAAGCCTCAAACCTTTTCTCCCTTCAGGGCCCTTCAGCAGCTCAAAGCACCTCTGAACAACCCTGAGGAAGACGCGTCTCCTGTTGCCTGTCAACGGGACATTTTATTCCTTGGCTCTTTACGTTCTAGTGAGCAAATGCCGTGAGTGTGGGAAGGGGAATTACATGTTCAATATCATCGGTCAGGTAACGCAATGCAGCGTAACAACACTCAACATGCAGTTCGATAGCAACTTTGCAGGAATTCATGCCCTTTCATGCCCTTTCGTATTTCACTGCTCTGGGATGCTCATTGGTTTCCTCTTTCACACAAACCATGGGCGTTTCTTCAACGCTGCCTCTGTATGTGCTGGAGGACTTGAAAAACTTGCTCGAGAGGAGGGTCTTGGCAAGCCAAAAAGCAGGTCACTCTGCACGCTGGAACATTGTCGATGCAAAAGCTCTTGGGACGTATAGACTTTTCAATTTAAATCTACGTAGACCTTGCAACCTGCTTCTCTGAAGCACATCATTCGGACAATGCAGCCGACCCTGAGTCTGCAACAGTCTCAACAAGTTCTGTGGACGAATGGACTTCACAGATCCATCTTGCCTCAACAATGCTGGGAATGAAGGTTGGAGGCCACCGCTACTAGGTTGGAGGCCATTGCTATTTGCGAACGGATGGAAAGGTGTGCCCTGGCCCCGTTCTAGCTCTTAGGTCAACATGAAGCTCGCGCGCTAAAGCTCCTTTTTACCTGGTTGGGCACTTGAGCCAAAAGTATATGGCATGTACCTGTATAGCGACTATACTGGGACCCCATCCCTATTGACACCCCCCACATCCGTACTTCGACGGGGAAGGGAGATGAGTGGATGTAAAAATCGGAGAACGAATCACGTTCTCAAAAGTGTATTGGAGGTCAACCAGTATGTCCTATTGAATCGAATTAGCAAAAGATCTTGCATTCGCTTGAAAGTTGGATCAAGCAGGCAACGGAGCTACAAGCAGAAAACGTGCACCTACCTATGGTATCATGCGATTACCAACGGTGTGAGACACAATCCTATCTCACTCCCATGATGCCAAAACGGTCACCATGAATTACCCGCGATCCCTCAGTACTTGAAGTACCGGAAGTGGCATGCCGGCATGACCCCAATGTTCAACCATTCGTGAGTTGTCGCATGTAGTCAGCGCCGACAAAGCCAATGTAGTCCTTGATGAGCTCAACGTTCCTTGGATTTCCCGCTCGGATCTGCTCCTCGAAGGACTTCAATTTCCTTTCTTGGGTATCGGATACCTCTATGCCATAGTAGCGGCATGCAACGAGGATCTCCTTCGTGACATTCTTCCTCTCCGATTTGATGGCGGGACTAATGTCGATGAATTTGTATGGAGCGGCACTTTCGTCATCTGGTTTCTGGTAGTAACTATATCGGCTCGCCCCGAAGGTCTTCTTGATCATACGTCTGATGAAATTTGAGATGAATGCCAATTTCTCGATGATCTCATCCTGGGTTTCAGACTTTCGAGCCTTTGGATCACTCATGCTGCGCTGAGTGCTGCCGACCTCTTTGAGGTACTTGTGGCTAAGCCCGCAGCGGATTGCAGTGATCATCATCGGATGAACAACATTGGCGTGGAATTCATAGATCTGCCACGCTTCTGCTGCATACACGTCGTCGGTCCACCTGCTCATGCCTACGACCTCGTCTCTCTTGAGACGTCTTGGAAACCCAGTATCCGGATCTTTCGGTACTATTGGCCATCTATTGTGCGGAGTGTCATGCCGCTGTCCATCGTCGAACATTCGCAGTACATCTTCACGACTCTCAAAGCAGTTGATGTCGAACGTTGCGTTGGCCAAGCTCTTGATCAACTTCATCAACCTCAAATCAAATTGCTGTGTGACGGCAAAGTTGTGGTCGATGGGGATCGCAGCTTCTTGCGGCAATTCGTCAATCGCGAAGGGGAAAGGCTAGTTCATTCCCGTATCCATCTTGAGGGACCTCCCGATACTCGGGTTCGCCTTCAGCTTCGTCCGGTCGTTCCTTCAAAATGATAGGAACTTCCTCCTCTTCCTCTCCTTCGGATTCCTCGATCTCAATGACCTCTTCGGCTGTCTTGCGTGCATTCTTGATGACTTCATCGATGTTTGCACCTGCAGCAGAGGTTGTTTCACCGGAAGAACTGGCTGGGACATCTTTCGGAGGTGATCGTTGATTGCGGTCCCTTGTCTCCTTGGGTACCACATGTGTGAGCTTCCCATTCGCGATCAAAACCGCTACGCAGTGCGGACATATCGTCAATCGCACATCGACCTCGCCAAGACAGTTAGGACACGGCCTTGAATCGTAGTCTTTCATCGCTCGGCGATACACGCGATCTCCTCGAAGAGTTCCTGCCACTCGGTGTTATCATATTCTGGGTAGACACCACTCTCCTCGATCATACCCAACAGCTTTGAGATTTTGGCGTCGTCCTCGGAGTAGGTATCGTCCAGAACCTCAACCGCCAAGCTCTCAAGCTTTTGAAAGCGTGGAATCATGATCGGGTTTCCGTATTTGGACTCTAGAACGAGGTAGCTTCCAGGGTCGGGTTCCCCATTGAGTAACCGGATTCATTCGATCTTCTCAGGCTGTCCGGGTTCCGCATTGTCGCATTGCAACCATGCCCCTTTAACCTCATCGAAGGGAACGACGTTCTCAACCAATAGAGAGCCAGTCGCTGAGATGAGAAGTCCGTACTCCTGCAGCTTCCACACCGGAATGTAGAGAACCACTGGGCGATCACTCAATGCGACCTTACGACCCAGCCAAGGTTTACCCTTGTAGCCCTGCTCCCAGGCCCATGGCGGAAAACATGTGAAGTGGATAGAATCCCTTCCCGATGAACCGAGACCTCCCGGCACTAGCCCTCGTCGCATGATTGAAGTCAGCGCTCCGAGATTGGTAGCGTGAAATGCATTCACCATAGATAGGGCCATGTCGTTGGTCATTCTCGACCCAATGTGGTCGATGTCGATGGTAACGTCATAACCTCCGCCGTCCGTTGAGTGTGCCGAGGTTGCTCTTACAGCCACGGGAAAGCACCATCCATCGCTATGGTGGAGTCTTCCTTTAGAGATTCCCATGTCCTTGAGTTCGTTAATCCATTCCTTCTCCATCGGGTCATCAGGCTCATTGAGTTCATCAGGGTGAACGCGGACCGCCAACATTTGGAATCTGACCCTCTTGGTTATGCGGAAACACTCATAGTTTTGGTCGAAGTACTTCTCCAAACGCGCCTTCTTGGTCACGATATCTATGTTGCCGTAGTGATAACCGTCTTCCCAAACTGCATTATCACCTAACAGGTCTTCCCATGACACCCATGCGCCTTCATCGCATTTGATTGGTGCGAGTCTTCCTCCTGTCCTGAACTGGCGTCCAATTCGATGTCTCAACTTCGCTCCCAATCGACGACTCAGGGCCTGGCTCGTTTGGCTGTATTCAGGTACTCGGCAGTCTGGAGTCGGATACTTGTGGTTGCCGTAGTCGGAGTTCTTTGCAGCGAAAGTGACTCCGTTGATCGGTACTAGTTCAACTTTCCCGACCATCGTCATGGGGTCGATCGGCTTGTATCCCTTCTCCCTCCGTGTTGGTAGGGGGTAGAAGTGATGACATGCCTTTGGTGTGAGGGAACTGGAGTGCACAAATGCCTTCTCGACAAACTCATACACCTGTTTCATATCCTTAGGGCCTGCTTCCACAAGCTTCCGCCCATTGTAGGAATGTGGTCCTCCTTCGACCCCATCAGCACTTTCGACCAAGGTGAATCCGTCATGGTCAAACATTGTCACGACTCTTGCTTTTAACATTTCTTTGCGCTTGAACTCGCTGTCGACCTTTCTTTCTGGAGTGGGCGACGCTCTCTGCTTCTTCTTCTTAGGCTGTTCGGTTGGATGTCCTGATGGTACATCGTCGGGTGCAACCTCTCCCTTCACTCTCTTCTTCCAATCACTCAACACCGAGGTGACTGTAGGTGAGGATGAAAGGGTCTTCTCGCAATTGAGAGTGGTGTGTCCCGACTCCATGCAGTGGATGCAGAATTCTGCCCGCCCGATCTTCTTCTCAAATTCGTCGATGGCGTGCAGTATTGATGCTTTCGGGTCGGACATGTCAACATCTTGCTCCTCCTTCTCCTGTACGCCTTCAGTCTCCATATCGACACCTTCGGTCTCCATATCGACACCTTCGGCCTCGGGCTCGCCAGTGGCTTCTGTTCCCTGTTCTGGCTCTTTTCCAATCTCGAAGAAGTGGTCGATGTCGAATTCAGGAAGCGGCATAGTCCTCATGCGAACGAGAATCAGCGCCACGCTTGCCGCCTCATCAGAGTGCGGGTCCATGGTTCTGATCATCGATCGCTTTCGGTTCTCATATGTTGTCCTGTCGTACAGTGATGCGGTGACGCGTTTGATGGATTCCTCTAATCCCGTCCTCAAAGCTTCGATGTCACCCCATCTCCTGAACATGTGCCTGAAAAGTTGAGCGATTTCGAACATGCCCAGCAGCGCTTCCACCATGTCACCTACCCGTTCCTCCGTGGGGTCATCTCCGAATATAGTGCGGAATACATCGGGTTCCAGTATGGTCTTGAGGTATTTGGTGTAGCATACGTTGCCAAGGTCATAGGATCCCTGGAAGTACTTGGCGTTGCCGATTATCTGCTTTTCCACATGGATGCTGGGTCCTCTCCTCGTTTTGAAGAAGTTCTCCGTCATTGTTGATGACAACCTGATCCCCCCGAAGAACGAAATCTCCTTCTGGAAACCTGGATTCTCATTGAAGATGATCATCGCCTCGTGTAAAAACTTCATCAAGTCATCGTGCGGGTTCATCTCGGAGATTACGATGGTGGGAGAAGATACCGTCTGCCCCATGCCGAAGTTGTGAAGCAATCGAGCACATGCATGAAATCGCTTCTGGACGTAGTCTTCTGCGGACATCCCACGGCATCTGTTTGCTGCTCCGTTGATGCATTCCGCATAGCAATCGTCTTTCAAATCGGAGTCTATGGGATTGCAGAACAGACAGTAATCGCAGCAAATTTCCTCACCCTCCTTAAAGTCATCAATGACGTACCACCTTTGAGTCCTTGAGTATATTGGTTCTGGCTGAAGGACTCCCCAGTACTCATCCATCCATGGCATCTTGTTCTCTCTCCTTACCTTCTCCCTCTTCCTCCTCTCAGACTCATTCTCACCTGAAGGCTCCGCAGTGGACTGATAAGCATGGCTTCCTCTCACGGAATCTCCGAACAAGTACTGATACAACCTCTCTTTGTCCTGCAACACGTGTTCCAAGTTGGGATCATGGAGGCTATTCGCTTCGGTCAAGGGATCCGGTGCCATAAAGCAAGAAGCGAGCATCTTTTCTCTGAACAAATACTTTTCCATGACAGCGTGGACCAAAGAGGTTCCAGACTTCATAGAGTAGGGGTGACCGCTTCCGGCGACCGAAATGGCTCGCCAGAATCTGTCCGACGTTGTGGACATCATGCCATTCAGCGACAGCTCGTCCTTGATCATGTTGGCGATCTTACCGAACGAACCGACGGCATGGTGAAAT